ATACACACACATACACACCACACACACACATACACACATACACACACACCACACACACATACACACATACACACACCACACACACACATACACACACATACACACATGCACACATACACACACAAACATACACACACATACACACACAAACATACACACATACACACACCACACACACACCACATGCACACACATACACACATGCACACATACACATACACACACATACACACATGCACACATACACACACACACATACACACACAAACATACACACACAAACATACACACATACACACACCACATACACACACATACACACATGCACACATACACATACACACACATACACACATGCACACATACACACACGTACACACACACCACATACACACACATACACACACAAACATACACACACAAACATACACACACATACACACCACACACACACATACACACAGACACACACACCACACACACATACACACATACACACACCACACACACACATACACACACATACACACATGCACACATACACACACAAACATACACACACATACACACACAAACATACACACATACACACACCACACACACACCACATACACACACATACACACATGCACACATACACATACACACACATACACACATGCACACACACACATACACACATAAACATACACACATACACACACCACACACACACCACATACACACACATACACACATTTTATTACCTTTTGCCTCCTTTAGAAAGTGGAAGGTGTGTTGGTAGCAGTTTCTGTGGATGTCTTTCCTGTCGGGCTCCATGTTTGTTAAAGGGTGTGGTTGAATACAGCAACATCCTCACCTGTCTCAGTAAAAATGTTGAACTGGGCCAAGGCTCGGTTCAGTGCCACCTGGTACAGGTCACTAAGGACCGTGTGATCACTTGCAAACCCATTTAAGGCTCTCAGCATCCAGGCTAACTCATCCTCGCTCTATCCTGTGGGGTATCAAGAAAGTTGATTACATTTTTTTTTTGCTACAGTTAGATATTTCATGGTGGAAATAACCCTCTTAGCCATCAATCTGGAAGATCCCCCTCTCTGCCTACCCATTTGGAAACGAATGGGACATGTGTTATCCCAATGTCTCTTGCTAACCACACACAGATTATCTTTGTGATGCTTCATCTGAAATTCTCTCCAAACCCCGTGACTGCCTTTGAGGAAGTCCCCCAGGCTCAGGCTCGGGACCTTGTTCCTAAGGTAACAGACACAGCACCAAGGGTCAGACAGCTTAGATTCAAAGGCAATGCTTCATCAAGTATTAGAATGTTATTTTTTCTATTTCTCAACTTCTGTAGTCCATAAAAATGATTTGTAACGTTCAAAATATAATACTATGTTGCAATTTGACCGTATCCTTTTGGCTTTGCTACACAAAGACCATAAAGATCCTAGTTTGGGGTTTTGTTTGTTTTCTTTAATTTTAGTGTAGGTCCATTTCATTCTCATCCCAGATTCACCCCAGTAGCCTCCTAACTGGCTCCAGACCTCTCATCTCATGCTTTTCCAGGTTAGACTCCTCAGTCCGGCCACATGCATGATTAATGGGAGCCAATGAGAATCACATCTAGACTCTTGGGCCCCCTTTCAAATCTACCAAATCATAGTCCACGTGTCCACAGGGCCTGCAAGTGACGGCATTAAAGTTGGGCACACACTCTCCTCTTACGCCATGCCACTCCCGCTGAAGGGGTGTCCTTACACTTCACATGATTCATCCCCAAACGATCTCAGCCAGGAAATGAACCACCTTAGCTTCCAGATGAGATGCTTTTGACGTCATTGTCTCTAAGAACAATGAACAAGTGTCAGGAAACTTTAGAGCAGCTCTAAAAATGATCACGATTCAGTTAGACTCCCTTCTAGTAAAAGCGAAGTGTGTTGTTTCTCCTTGGTGAGAGAGGATTTGGGAAGCAGGTGTGATATGCTGAGTTCTTCTAACTCATTTGGTACTTACTATGTACTTGCTGTATAGTGACAAGCATTTTTCTTAATGTAATCCTTACCATAATCTATGTAGATAGATAGGTATTTTCAATCTTTATTTAATATATGAAAAAAAACTAAGACTCCAAACATTCAGGCTGTCCAGAGTCACAGGATTGGTGGTTCAGACTACAGTGTGAGTAACAAATGCATCTGGAATCCAGAAGCTGAGACAAGTAGTTCTGTACTAAAAGGCCTGGTGGCCTGGATTGGGGGAAACGATACTCTCTCAGATTGTTTAGTTTTGTTCTCACACATAGCTTCATCATCGGCAGTGTCCATGTAGTTGGAACGTGTTCCTGCCTTTGGAAAGGAGGAAGGGAGAAGTGAAGGGTGTTCAATTCCTTATAAAAAACATAATCCAAAGTTTTACCTGGCATTTCTACTTAGAATTCTGTTAATCGAACACAGCTTGTGCGCATGGCCACATTTAGGTGCAAAAAAAAGGCAAAGAAATCTAGGAAGTTGGAAGTTACTTACTAGAAAGAAAAAAGGGAATTACTAATAAAAGAAACCCATAGGTTCTACCCAGGTACCTAATTGAAGGTACCTAATTGAAGGATGAGATTCAAGCCTGTCACCAAACTTGTAATCTTTTTTATATAATTGACTGTCGGTAGATATTGAATTGATATGGACTGAGATACATGTATAAGCTTTTTAATCATTTGGAATCATTTATTCCTTTTCTTTACTTCCTTGACCACCAACATGACTCTGTGACAAACTGTCACAATTTTTAATGAAGTTATTTTTACTTATAAAACAGGACACACCAGGCAGTGGTGGCACACATCTTTAATCCCAGTACTTGAGAAGCAGAGGCAGGCGAATCTCTGTGAGTTTAAGGCTAGCCTGGTCTACAAAACTACACAGAGAAATCCTGTCTCAGAAAAAAAAAAAGGATACACATCATCTCTGTTGAGTAGAAATATCAAAATAAAATAATCAACCAATTATTTCCTAAACTTTTAAATAAAACTTTATTTTTAATATTTATGTGAATGTGTTTGCATGTACATACCAGGGCATGCATATGAAGGCCAGAGGAAGATTTGATTCTTGTGATTCTTATAAGAGTTGATTTCTCTTGTTTCCTTTCCTTTTACCATCTGGGTCTTGAGGATCAAACTCTCAGGCTTGATGGCAACCACCATTACCCAGTAAGCCATCTTGCCATTCTGAAATTTTTATTTCATTCCAAATAAATACATGCTGATTATTTTTGTGTTTCAGATAACTAGTCCACATACCCATTGGTAAGCACTTGATATGTGTGTGTGTGCATGTATGAACATATATATACACACACATATATACATCTTACAGATATGCACATATATATGTATGTATATACATGCAGCACTTTATATATACGCATATATGCATGCATGCATGCATGCATATTCTGCAAAATAATTCTATACAAATAACTTTTTACCAAATAATCACCTTCTTTATAAGAGCCATTTGTCTTAGGAGAATGTCATTGTTCCAAACACTTCTGGAATTTCATGTTTGCTGGAGTGCAGGTCAACTCATGTACAAAAATACTTCCTAACAGCATCATCAAGCATTCAGAGGCATGCATCAATATTAACTCTCACACATGTGGGTCCCTTGCAGCTGGGCCTGGGTGGCTAGCTCTGTCCCAGGCATCTCTGATTCTCCTGAGACAGCTGACCAGTTTGAATTTGTTTTCCTCTGGATATGACAGGAGTATAAAAGAACAGATGGAAATCTTGAGGTCTAGGCTGGGAACTGGCATAAGCCAAAAATAAGCCATGCAGCCAAACCCACAGTCAAAGTCCAGCAAAAATGCATGACAAGGCTTCCAGTTAGAGAAAATACAGTCATAAGATAAAGGATAGAAACCCCCTCAGTAAGGAATCAGGGCCAGAATCAATGAAACAGCATACCATTGCTTTGCAAGCTATTTTGAATATTTGTCATGATAGTAACTATTTTCAGGGTAGCTTTGTTTTTTTTAAATAGCTAAGTTATGGATAAAATTAGAAAATTGGGGTAGGTTTGTCATTGAGCAGAGAGGTAACTATTTGACCATGTCACATAAAATAATCTTATTTCTGGAGGAAATATTGTTTAAGAATATAGTATTACAGCCGGGCGTTGGTGGCACACGCCTTTAATCCCAGCACTCGGGAGGCAGAGGCAGGTGGATCTCTGTAAGTTTGAGACCAGCCTGGACTACCAAGCGAGTTCCAGGACAGCCTCCAAAGCCACAGAGAAACCCTGTCTCGAAAAAAAACCAAAAAAAAAAAAAGAATATAGTATTACAAAATACTATATATATATACATACTATATATATACTAAATACTATATATATATATATAGTATTTAGTGCAGTGGTTCTCACCCTTCCTAATTCTGGGACCCTTTAATACAGTTCCTCATGTTGTGGGGACCCCAAACCATAAAATTATTTCATTGCTACTTTGTCACTGTAATTTTGCTACTGTTATGAGATGTAATATAAATATCTGTGTTTCTGATGGTCTTAGGTGATCCCTGTGAAAGGGATCCCCAAAGGGGTTGCAACTCATAGGCTGAGAACCACTGACTAAGTGGTATAGTGTTTGAGATAAATATTTTTCCTAGTTGAATACTTTGAGATGATTAATACTCACTTGAACATTTGGTTCTAAAACATTTTTTTGTTGTTATTGTTGCATTGTTGAGACAAAATCTCTCCTCATATCCATGGCTATCTCAGAACTTACTTTGTAGTCCAGACTGGCCCCAAATTCATAAAGATCTGCCTGTCTCTGCCTCCTGAGAACTAGGATTGAAGGCATGCACCATCATGCCCAGCCCTCTAAAATACTCTTGATAATAAATCCAATGTATTGTAGTCATGTGCTATAAAGGGAGAAAGGGAACCAGCAAAGGCTCCTGGTAAACTTCTAACCCTGGAAATGTGCTTTCTGTGCAGATTCTCATTGCCAAGTCCCCTCTGGCTGCCTTCACCGCCTTCATCTACACCATCAAGGGGGAGGGCCTGGTTCTTCAAGGTAAGTCCTTCCACTAAACGATCTCTGTGAGGATGTTCTTCTCAGTGCTGCCCATAGCCAGTGACAAGCACTGCTTGGGTCCTTTTGATGCATTCAGGACAGTTCAAAGGCCAAAGCGAAATCATTGGTGATTTTTTTTAATGCTGATTAGATCAAGAGATTTGGCAAGTTGTAACAAGAATTTGACAGGAGGAAGGGAGAACTACGAGATGTAATAACAGAGTGGAAGGGATGGGCTGTTGTTCAATGGTGGAATGCTCACTTCTAGTGTTGCATTATAACAAACAAAAGAAAAAGAAAAGCAAGCAGAAAACCCTCCAAATGGGACAACAATAACAACAACAACAAAATGAGTGCTTAACCCATTAAGAGATTCTGCAGACCAATATGAAGTACTAAGACCATAGATTCTTGAGATATATGCTTATGTATATGTGTGTGTTTTCATGTATATGGTCAGGTGCCTGTGCCTATTGAAACTTGAGGTTGGCAGGTGTCTTCCTCAATTACTGTCTGCTGTATGTTTGAGGCCGGATCCCTTGCTGAACATGGAGCTCTCCCTTCTGGCTAGTAGAGCCAGCCAGCTTGCCTCTTCTGTCCCTATCGCCTGTGTTGGGATTGTTGGTGAGCTGCCACAACCACCAACTTTTCACATGGGTTCTGGGGTTCTGAACTTCAGTCACCACACTTTCCCACAAGCACTTGACCTGCTGAGTTGTCTCCTCAGCTCCATAATGATCTTGTAAATGACCCAAGGACAGTCTCCTTTAAAGCAGGTATTTATTTATCTTAGGAGAATGTCAAGAACACTTCTGATTGTGAGACCTTGCCCCCACCATCCCCTTTGCAGATCCCGTGGTGTGAACTCTGCACAAAGTTGTCAGTGCCGGCTTGGCAAAGATCTCCCTCTTAACCCACAAACTGCAGGGCTGCGTGTGGGATTCGTGGAACCCTGCTTCCCTATGCTGAAGTCCAGTTTGTCCTTTGTGACATTATGGACCTCGACTTGAAAGCAGCTGGGTTCTTGTTCAAAGCTCAACTCCACTAGGCTATGCCCTGGAACTCTCTTGAGTGGAGGTTCAACCCTAGATGCACATTAGGAGGGGTTCTTGATGTGGCCAGGTCTTTCCAGAAAACATACAAGGGCAAATTTAAGAGTTGGACTATTCTGCCCCCGGAGTCAAATGTCTAAAACTTCCCTATGGATTAAGAATGTTCAGGATACACATTTGTCCCCCACTGTTAGACCAGAGACCCCACCCACAGGGATACACAGGTGAACATCTGCCCTAAACCAGAGGCTTTGTCGTTGCTTTGCCTGGCAGGGTTTTATGAATGCAGATTTCCCTCCAGGTTTGTAAAATAGGTCAGTTGCTTCAGTTTCCAGGAGGAGACTTCATTGCAGAGACCCTGCAGAGGCAGGATGGGGAGTTCCCACTTCTGGATGAGGGCAAGGCTGCAGCCCTCCCCTTCCACCCCCTCTAAAATGTCTGCTCCTTAATGGACTCTCAAGCAGTGTGTTTGTTTGGTGCAGCTGAGCTCCCCAGCGGGAGACTCTCAGGTCCACAAAAATTTGGGGTAAGAACCACTGACCTTTGGCTCTTAGCCTTTGACTTACGCTATCCAAGTTCCTTGGTAAATATTTTTTTAACAATTGCAAATATTGTTTTCTGACAAAGAAGCAGAGATTTTAAGACCAGATTAAGCAAAGCAAACAGCAGGCCCCTTTGTTACACACTCTCTGAGGGTGTATAACTAATAAGCGATCAGAAAGCTGGGTTTATATTTACCCAGCACACAGTGTGGGTTTTGAGTGCTCCAGTTTTAGAGGCTGTCTTGGAAGATTAGTGGCCTAGTAAATAGAAAGCCAAGATGAAGATTTCAGAAAGTCTAAGGAAGACTGCAAGCTGAATTCAAGAAGAAAAGAATCAGCTCTGCCCAAGGCTTGTACTGAAAGCCTTGCTGGGAAGCATTTCTAAGCTTGGATAACACTTCGAGTATTGGCAGGGACAAGGTTCCCTGGTTTACCTCCCTCATGATCACTCCTAAGATCATGATGCAGGCAGAGAAGAAGGAATTATTTAGAGAAGAGTAGAAACTGGATATACACTTGGTGGGTGGAGGTCAAAATCCAACAGTAAGGGTCTCACCAACCCAACAACCTGAGTAAATCCACGTTTAAAAAAAAATTGAAATCAAAAAAGCAGAGGCAGTGGCACACATCTGTGATCACAGCAGTCCTGTGAAGAGATGAGAAGCAGAGACAGGAGAATCACCCAAAGCTGGTCTAGCCTGGATTACATAGCATGGCCTCTCCAAAACAAGGTGGAGAGAAGCTAGAAAGATGGCTGGGTGGTTAAAAGTGACTGCTGCTCTTGCAGAGGACCCTGGTGTGATTCCCAGCATTCTGTGGCAGCTCCAGGGGGTCCCATGCCCCAGCTGGCCTCTGTTCGCCAGGCACACACATGGTGCACACTTGCAGGCAAACACTCTTACACACAAAATAGCATCTAAAGAGAAAGAAGAAACAACAAGGTGGAAGACGAGAACGTGTCTCAAAAGCTGCCCTCTGACCTCCACATACATGCTGTGTCATGTATGTGCATGGGCATGCACACTCACTAACCATGACGACGACGACGACGACGATGATGATGATGATGATGATGATGATGATGATGATGATGCAAAGAACAACTACAGAGGAAGCTAGAAACCAGCAAAGAACGTGTGTTACTGCAGGGGATGAACCTGGAGCAATGTGTCCAGCAAAGGGAAAAATTCAAGCGGATGTCATGACACAAAGTCCCTAGCTAATAAAAGCATGCCCAGGGGAGGACCTCCAAACCCCACAGGCTGACTTCTAGGCTGCTGTCTCTGTTCTGCTCCCCCAGAAGCACTTCCCTCTCTAGGGAACCCTGCTTCCCCTGTCAGCAATACCTCTGAATGCAAACTCACAGCCTGCTATCCTGCCATGTGCTCCTGGGTCTTCTTGGAGTGGGGGGGGGGGTGAGGGAAACAGGGAGGGGAGAGGAAAATGAGTCAACACGAGCTGTTCTCCCCCCAAAAATCAGTAGCCTTTTTTATTAGAAAGAACTCTTGGCTTTGGGTTGCTGCTCTGCTGAGATTTTGAGAAAAGTCTCTGGGGCTCTAACTTCAAGAACTGTACAGTAACCTGTTAGTGGGCCATAATGAGACTGGTGGAGCACACCCAACATTGAAGGAGAGGGGCAGGTGGGGAGCGAGGGGAGGAAGGTGTGCAGAATATCAGGTTACATATAACACGTGCATGGCATCCTTCCCTGTGATGTTTAGTTCTCGTGTGCGCATATATGTGCATTATCAGTTTGTGTATGTAGATCACATGGCCTGTGACTTGGACTGCAGTAAACAGCTTGGGTGATGACTGAAGTCCTCCAGACTCCACTGCTTTTCCTGGGAGGCCACTCTCCTCTCCTGATACAATTGTTCCCTCGAGATCACCACAGTCGAAGCACAAGCTTCCTTTCCTCCATTCTTAGCAGACAAGCATGCTGAAAAGTCTGCATATTCCCCGGGTTTGAAGCAGGGAAGCCTTGCTGCCTGTGTCCTAACCCCGGGGGAGATGCCTGCAGTAGCCGGGAGGGGTTGCTCTCACAGGCAAAGTGAACTTGAAGCTCCAGGTAGGACCTCATGCCTGCAGGGCACACAGAAGAGTGGTGGGGAGACCCCTGGGAGACTGGAGCAGGTCTTGGGCTACCACTAAGAGAAGCAGGTGCTTTGTAGCTTGATGTCTGCCTCTGGGAGGGAGCCGGGCTGGAGTGATGGGAAAGTGCCGTTAGCTCTCACAGGCTGCTCTGGGGGTGGGGCTGTCAGTGACCGTGGGAATGGTCCCTCGGGCCTTTTATCCTCTGCAAACCCCTAGATGCCTAATACCTGAAGCCTTCTGAGCGCACAGCGGAGGGAGAGAATGAAAGGTGAGGGCAAAATGGGATTGACCAGCTCCACAGGCCATTCCCCTCACTGGTTCTCAAGGATTAGGAAGCCCAGGGCAGGCAGCAACTGGGGGCCTGACACTGGTCCCTCCCCTTTGTTCCCTGGGATGGGAGGGACAATGAAAGGGCAGGCTGGAAAGACCAAGGGGCTGGGTAGAGATTTCTCAAGCTGCTTTTTGAAACACTTGAAGGAGCCAGTCCATGCTATTGTTGTAGTAAAATAGAAAGCGGAACTATTCTCCTTTAAAAAAAAGAAAAGAAAAAGTAAAAGAAAGAAAACCACCCTCCCAGGCATCTTCAGGAGACTGCTGGACTGAAGCCATTAACATGGTAATACCATCCTGTTTGCATCTTCTTTGTCTGGGATTCTGCCTCCTCCAGCCTGGGCCCTAGACCCTGGAAATGCTTAGGCCCTAAAGGAGAGGAAGCCAAGCACATGACCAGCGTGGCCACCAGCTTCCAAGCGGCCTGGCCTCTAACAGGGGGCCAGGTGCAGTTAGTGGGAGAGTCCAGCCCTTTGTACAGCTGGAATGAGAGTCTTGGGAATGGAAAGGAATTGCAAATCTAATCTTCCTTTTCCCCTCCATGGAAGCCTTGGTACCCACCAAGCAGAAAAGTTTGCAAAGGGCTGAATGAGGCAGAGAGGTGCCACGACCGCCGGCCAGGGGAAAGCAGCTGACTTTGGGGGTGGGTTTTAATGGCGTGGCCCCCACCCAGAGCGCCTGGCTATGAAAGGAAAGGGAGAATTTGCAGGAAACTCCAACTTGACCCAAGTTTCTCTGCTCATGCCTGATGTCTCAGTGAGCGCCAAATATGCCACCAGGAACAGAGCAGGGACTCCCAGTGGACAGCTGAGTGTGTTGCTGATGCTGGGAGTAGCAGGGTGCAGGGTTCTCCTAGAGCCAGTCCTGATTTCTTGGAGCCTATGACTGGGTGAAGGAGTTTCCAGGGAGGAAGCTGGCGCAGAAATAGAGAAGATGGATGATGAGGCCCAGCGTTTCTGTTTTGCCTTGCATTCTCCTTCCCTCAGGAATCCAAGAAGTAGTTAAGAAAACAGAAAACCAAGTTGTTTTAAGCATGACAGAAAACAGCTTCATTGCACAGTAAGACGGAAATGTGTGTATCTTCCATTGTTTTTATAACAGCAGGGTCTAGCAAGATCTCTGGGCTCTGGGCTCTGGGCTCTGGGCTCTGGACTGTCCTGCACTAGTTTAGATTTGAAGGAGTTGAGTTGGGGTGGGGAAGCCTGAGAGGAGACTGGGCTACCCCAGCGCGGGTCTTTAGAAGGTGCTAGATGCAAAACTAGCTTCAACCACTTACTCTGCAGACTCAGATGGAACTAGAAAATACAGCTGTTTCTTTGGAGAGCTGTGTGTCTGCTTTTAGCATCAAATGCCTTGTTTGAGCACCTTTGGGAACTCATGGGGAAAGACATTAATCTACTGTGTATGTTTGTCACAAACTTGGGTTATATTCTCCAACCCCATTTTCTTAGTCCTCAGCCATTTGGGAGACAATATTAAAGAACTCCTTTTCCCCAGATACTCGTTACCCTTCACTTGGAATCTGTAGTCTCTCTCTCTCTCTCTCTCTCTCTCTCTCTCTCTCTCTCTCTCTCTCTCTCTCTCTCTCTCTCCCTCACCCAACCCCCCCCCCCAGAAAATTCTCAATCTATTTCCTGGGGTTTAGAGGAGCAGACAACACTAATTCCCCTCCCAGAGGTCATAGAGAGGAAGGCAGAACTGTCACTTTGTTCCTGCCCCCCAATACTGGTGCAACCTCAAAAGGCTCCCCCAGGCCTCTTGGTGGCAGAGCTCTGTGTCTTTTGACATTTATTTTGCACCCCCTTCCATGTTGACTTTCAACACCCACCCTGGGCCTGTTCACTTTTTTTCCTCTGATCATTAGTTTCAAGGAGCTTTCTCTTTGTCGGTACAGAACTCAGTGCCCTGCACACTATAGGCAAACACTATATTTCTGGCCTCGGCTTGAAAACATTTTTACTACAGAACAATGCAGAAGTCATAAAACATGACTTGTACATGCGTGTAGTACCTAGAATTGGGTTTTCAAATACCCATTGGTTTCTTTTTTTTTTTTAATTATGGGACTAAAACTTGACAAAGCTCAGCCGGGCGTTGGTGGCGCACACCTTTAATCCCAGCACTTGGAAGGCAGAGGCAGGGGATCTCTGTGAGTTCGAGGCCAGGCTGGACCAACAGCCTCCAAAACAATACAGAGAAACCAAAAAAAAAAAAAAAAAAAACTTGACAAAGCTCAAGTCTCTAAAGCTAGCCCCATGTCAACCCCTCCAACATGTTACCACCGTTCACAAGGTCAAAGCTCTCCACAGTGTCATAACTCCTTCCCTGCCATTCTTAAATGCTTTTCTGTCTAGGTGTGAATCCACATAGAATTCTTTCTCTCGGGGGCACATTCTAGAAGTTTATTAAGTGCTTCATCATATACACTTCCCAACTTTTCTTTTGTTATTTATCTTGTTACTATGATATATCTACAGTGACACGCATACTCATGTTCATTTGCTTCAGGCAACCATCACTGCATGCAATCCAACTCCCTGTTTATGGACATTTTTGTAAAGCTCTATTTATTTTCATTTTATGTGCATATGTATCTGTGTTCTGCATGCATTCTTGGTACCTGAGGTGGCCAGAAGAGTGGCCAGTCCCTTGGGCTTGGAGTTTCATCTGGCTGTGAGTGACCAGGGTGTACTAGGAACAAAACCTAGACCCTCTGCAAAAGCAGTAAGCACTCTTATCCGCAGAAACATGTCTTCAGTCTCCCCCGCCCCACCCCCTTTCTTTCTTTTGGAACTTTGGATTATTTAGAGCAAAGAATCTCTTCACAGATCTCTCAGTAGGCAGGTAGGAGGCTTCTCTGGGAAAGCATGAGAAGTACAATGGCTTCCCGAGGCACCGAATGCTTCAGCTTCCTCCCAAAGAGATCTCTGCTTACACTCCCTCTGAAGATAGCGAGCCAACCTCTGTGCAATCACATATAATTATGAGGGTCTTGCTGATCTCCCCAGACACTTCGTGTGCCTGTCGGCTCTGCCTGTAGATGGCAGACTTTTGTGTCCTCTACTGAGATCCACACTAGAGTAAGCGAGTGCTTCTAGCATCCACTTAGGTGCTTGCTGATGAGATTTTTCTCCCTGCCCCCAAAGGCAGCTGTACACACGTTTGCTGTAAGAAACTGTAGTCTCATCCACCACTTTCATCTTCAGGTAAGGAAACAGTTGTGTTCGCTGCCCCCTGGGTGGGTTTGGAGCCCTTTCGAAGCATCCAGCCTGGGTCTGAGGTTTAAGAAACTCATGCCTTTGGCCTCCTCCCCTGCAAACGCTATAGACACTTTATTTCTCACAATTGCTGGGCCTCTGTTGGCATACTGCAGGCCAGTCCCGAATTTTGCATCTTGAGATTCTAAATTAAAAGATGCATCAGTCATACTGATATACTGATCCCTTGAGAAACTCCCTGAGGGTAGTTGGGTTGAAACTTTGTTGGGTATAACTCCTAGGTAAGCAGTGCTGAGAACTCTCACTTTCCCACACAGCACTGTGGAGGAATGCGCTCAGAGCTGACCTGTTTGTCCAGGCAACCAGCCTATCGACTTACCTCTCCATCGTACCTCCCATACCGCCATTGTTATCTTAGCCCAGAATGGCTTGGCGTGATGTCCTCCATCCAGACAGCAGGATTTGTGTTTGATGGAGAATAATGATGAGAGGGAACACATTTCCCTTCCTTTAAGGAAAATTACCCAGAAGCTTCACACTTCTTTTCTGCTTATATGATGTTGGCAAGCTGCAGGTGAAGTGTGTGACAAGAAAAGTTATTAATCTGAGTGGTCGTGTATCCAAGTAAGAGAAGGCCTCTACTACCACTGCAGGAAGGTATCTCAACCTCACGTCCCCGTCAGAGGCCAGTCACAGAGATCGTGTGGCATAAATATTGAATGTATTAAAAATTCTCTTTGGTTCCAGAGACTGTAGCAGAAGAAAAAGATACACAACAGGGGTCAGTTACTCTACCAAGGATCAGCACTCAAAAATCCTGTCCAACCCCACCCCAGCCCCAAACAGAACCTCTTTTAGGCGGGGAACCTCAGTATGTGTTCACTAGTGTGTGGGGGTATGGACTTGGGTCCAAAGTCACAGTCTATACAACTTTTCCCCCAGATTTATTTTTTCTTTTAAGTGGGAACTTCAGTATGTCTTCTACTAGCATGTAGGGTATGGACTTGGGTCCACAGTCACAGGCTACACACATTTTCCCCCAGATTTATTTTTTCCTGCCTAAACTTTTGTTTTCTGTAAACATTGAACAAAATGTCAGTTGAAATAAGGTTAGAGAAAAAAGCTTTATTCTAAGACCTGGACTATAGTTAGGCTGGCTCCTCCTATGGAACCTGGAAGCCATTGGCAGAGTTAATAATTTACATTTGTTAAAATGCCCAGGTGATAATACCAAAAGATGTTAAATGAATTCAGGTTGTTGATTTTCTTTGAAAATTGTTTCCAAAAAGGACTTGGTGTTCTTTCTAGAATATGATTTAAGCTCCATGATGGTTATTTCAGTTCAGAACATACCAGTTGAACATCTATTGTTTACAAAGCTAGGTGCTCCGGATTCAGTGGACGTGGGGGAGTCCCTTTTGGCTCAAAAGAAGATGTAATTATATGAGTTTAATCAAAAACAAAGTGACACCTGTTACAGAGGTTTGACTAGTAGGGCTTGGAAGGGATAAGGAGATAGATTCATTCCAGCTTAGGATGACTGGGCAAGGAGCCTGACAACATGGGGGACTTGAACTGGATTCAGATAGTTAATACTGACGAAAACTGCATCCCATTGTCTCTTGACAGCGGCCAATTTCTTTTGCTGTTTGAGGATAGATTTGGGGACACTGGGGAATGCTGATTAGTTCTGTCACTAACACTGATTAGTGACAAATGTTGAATCATGCTGACTAATGTGTTCTGAATGGATTGACTCAACAATAAAAGGAACATTGAGAGTCAAGAGTTCAGGTCATGAGTCTCACCCATGTGATGAAATGCAAATCACTTTGCTTCTCCCTCATGCTCTTTTTTCTTCCTTTCTTTTCTTCCTTTCTGGTTTGTTCGTTTTGTTTTTATTTTGTTTTCTTTGTGTTTTTTGAGGGTTTTGTTTGTTTGTTTGTTTTGGCCAATTAAAATGTGTTCATCCTGAGAATCCAGTAAGTTACCTTGACTAGCAAGTGCTTTGCAAACCTCAAGGGTGACAGGAATGCTGAGCGACTACCAGGAAGGCTTATGCAACCTCACTTAGTTTTTTCATAAGCCACACCAAGTCAGACTGTCCATCACACGCTGTTCTCTAGCCATGCGAAACTTCCATTTCCTCACATGTGCCATGAGAACCAACAAAGGGTGAACTGCACTCACAAAACCTGACAAATAGAGGAGCTTTTGAAAAATCTTTCCTCTACCTACTGGGGCGTCTGTGCCTTTGGACAACAAATGTTACCACAAAACTAAGCGCTTGCGTTGCACACATAGCTCTTTCTCTCTTTTGACATCTCCCCAGCTAGACTGCTTGAGAACCTGGCCTTCCATGTCCAGATGTTTACTGAATTCTGAAGGCCCCCCAAAGGGCCCAAATTCTTTTGTTGCTCTTCAAATCATTTCCCACAGAGACTGACCAATGTCCTGAAGGAGCCCTTCAATAGAGAGGATAAATGAAGGCAGATGAAGACATGACCCCCTGAGGCTTGCCCGCATCCACCCTAACAAAGAGTCTGAGGCACAACCTTGTAAGGAGTGTTTTGGTCAGCAGCATCCCTATGAGAGGCCAAGTCTCCCCCACAGAGCTGCTTTCAATGGCTATCATCATAGTGGAAGTCCTGGGCATTTGTTAAAGTTGTGGTGTGCTAGGTGTAGCATAAAACATCTAAATCATGGTTCCCAGCCTTTGTGAGTGTTTCCTGAGGCTACAGATGGCAGCTGGCTTTCTCAGGGGAAACTTGGGGGTGACAGAAACCCAAAGAGGGGCTCCTGTGTCTTTGGATGATCCTTTCCCACCCAGCCCAGATAGACTTCCCCTTTTGTATGTGGCTCTTGGCACTTGAGCCAGAGTTGCTGGACCTTAACCATCACTGGGCCGTTTCTGGGTGTCTCTGGGGCATGCCATGGTTGGCTCTGTGGGAGGGGAATGCTGCTGCAGGGAGAGCTTTATTTAGATTACTAATGAGGCGCTAGTACATTTCATGACAACATTTTCTTTTTAACTTTCCTTTTCTTTCTCTCTGTCTTTTTCCTTTTAGGCCAAGAGAGGCCATAGGGATCCTGTGACCTTTGTCTAGAGCTGATGGGGGTGTGATTTGTGAAATGAAACAAGACCAAGCCGGGTGCTGCTGGGAAAAAGGAACCGGAAGCCAACATAATGAGGATTAATTGGTTGATTGCTGTTGAGATGGTAACTGTGATTTCAGACCCGGAAGGGAAGGTGAAGATGAAGAAGCCTTTGTCCAGTCTCTAGATGTGGCGGGCTAGGGGCTTTACCACCATGGGATGTCAGCAGCCATAATAATAATTTGCACTTACATAGCACCTTTCAACCACGCACCTCAAAGCGGTTTAACCACATTAATTAATTAAACCCCACAATCCCCCTGGGGAGAAGAGGAGGAGGACTAACAAGATTTGTAATTACAGAAGGGAACATTTCGAATAAAGTATTGTCCACCAAATAAAAAGAATAGGTGTGAAAGAGTTGGAGTCTCCAAAGAGTTACTGATTCACAAATGAAATCATGAAACCATGGGGGGAAGCTAGAGGCGGGCATGGATGTGGGGGTCTGCTCTTGTGTCAGAGGGAGGTCGGTGGCCTCAGAACTCACTGACAGGCTTGACTCCAGCTTGTAAGCAGAGCTTGCATGGTATTAGTGTTGTTTGGAAGGTCATTAGTGGCATAACTATTGTAAGTATAAATTCACATTCCACCGGTATATTGTGTGTAGCCTTGCAGAACAAAGAGTGAGATTCTTGCAGTATTTAATAAAGGATGAAGTGATTTCTTTAGCGTTGAAGCCCAAAGCTGGACCACTCAATTAGCAAATAAATCAACTGGTATCCCATGGGATAATTCAGTTCTTTCCCTTGGATGTCCAGCCCACCCGTTCCCACTGCCCTGGGGCTCCTAGGCAAAGTATCAGATTGAGTTGATTCAATGCAATGTTTGGGGGGGTTAGGCCCTGTCAGAGTCAAGTATTGAGTCTTTCCAGGGCTGGCGAAGTGACTCAGCGGGTAAGGATACTTCCAACTAAATCCGATGACCTGAGTTCAATACCCATGTCAGGAGGAAAGAACCAGCTCCCCAAAATTGTCCTCTGACCTCAACACATACACATTGCATACACGAAAAGAGCAAAAGAGAGGAAGGGGAAGGAAAAGGGATGAAAGAATAAATGTAAAGTTATTTTATTTTTACTGAGACATGGTCTCACTATGCAGCCCTGGCTGGCCTAGAACTCACTATATAGACCAGGCTAGTCTTGACCTCTCCTTCCTGGGATTAAAAGCATATACCACCATGCACAACTATAAAAGTATTTTTAACAACAACCTTTCCAGCCTCTGGAAACCTATCATCAAAGTTGTTGGTGACCCCAAACTGTAGAATCACTGCCTGCTCCCCCTTCAGAGATGTTAAATGCCATGGGGGGGGCATGTGGAATAAGCACCACATCTCACTCCCTGCCTCCTATTGGTACCCAACAGAGTGCTATGAAAAAGTGAGGAGAGGGTGATGAGAGACTGGCTCTGCAAACAACTCAGTGATTATTGAGTATATGATAATATAAAGGATAGAGCATGTGCTCCCCTCAGTAAGTGAATCACAAGAAAACTCTAATAACTATACAGCAAAACAGAATGACGCCGCGTGGTAGATAATGGTGAGGCCTGTGCTGCCAGGAATCAGAAGGGCATCTTGCTGGGATAGAAGTGTGTTCCTGAGGAGCCAGCAGACATGCCAGGCATAAGGGAGCCAGGGGATTTATGTAGGTCCAGAAGGAGCTGCCAAGGCAGCCTCTCCAGTCTGAAGCCAAGTACTTCCTCTGAGTAAGGGGCATTTTGAGAGCTTGTGGTTTTTCCATAGAATGCTCTGTGCAAGCCAAGCTGATTAAATGTAAATTTCTTGTTCATTCTCATGACACAAATTGGCTAACTTGAGACGACAAAGCAGTATTTGAGAAGATGGCGATGAGATTTATATAGAGTATCCCTATATAGAAGGAAACAGCAGAGGGAAGATTGATGTCTTCCTCCCTCTCTCTCCCTTTCCCCTGAACAGGTCATAAAACCTAGCCAGCTTTCCCTTGAACAGGTCATAAAGACGTCATCCCAGAGGTGCCCTCCCTGGACCCTGAGGAAAGGAATGCTCTTATCTCTCAGAAGCACCAGATCAAGAGAAGACCATGAGCCAGCAGGCCAGCTGGCTCTGCCCCCTAGCTTACTGTCATTAGGTCATACCTGCTTATCCTCCAATCAGACTTCTGCCCACTCTCTTTAAAAAGAAAAAAATATCCTCATATCTTCCTGTTTCTTTGGGTCTCCATCTCTAAGGCGTCTGTGTCATATAAAACATGTTAGATAAATGTATGTGCTTTTCTCTCATTAACCTGTCTTTTGCCGTAGAGGTCTCACCGTGGTCCTTGCCATGGGGAAGGAAAGGTACCACGGTTTCTTACCTACAGTTTCTGGTACCCAGCACGGGGAGACTGAGACACTTTACTGGAGCCTGTAGGTAAAGATCCTTGGACAATTGGCATAAACAAAAAAACAGTTGTATAAGAATTCTTATCAGGGCCAACTCTCCCAGATCTGTCTACAGTGCCTGGTTGGGAAGGAGGTAAAGATCTCTTCTCCTGCTTCCCCAAATTGCTACTAGCAGGACAACATCGTGTGTTTGGATTGACTGTCTGGCCAAAGCTATCTGGGAGCTACCGTTCCTGCTGGCCCTTTCCTTCCCAGTGACACCTCTTTTCCCCTCTCCTTGCTCACCTTTTCATGTCCCCAGTACGTGGCTTCACTTCCACTTACGTAACTCAGTTTTGCATATGCAGGCAGCCATCTTCAGGTTGGAGAGCCACAAGAATATGGCTGCATGAACTCGTACCTAGTGATGGCGGCTCTCAAGAGGGTCTCTGTCTTGTCTTCTTCCTTTCCTTTGCACTTCTCTCCTTTGAGGACACATTTCCCCCAATGTTTACACACACACACACACACAGACAAACAGACATACACACACACATACACCCAGACACAAACAAACAGATACGCACACACACACAGACACAGACACACACACATTCATATGTATTGTTTTGGTTTTTGCATCACTTAATAGACACCTTTGGTTTGAAAGAAGAAAAGAGTAAGTAAATGTATAAACCTTTCTCTGTTTATCTGTGCTTTTTTATAGGAGTGTCAGCCATGAGCCTTGTAGTAAGTGAAGAAAAGATAGCAGTTTTTCCACTTTAGGAAAAATGTTGTTTATTTTCTACCACTCTTACTTAGGTCTCTCTTCACTTTGACTAAACTAAAAAGAGAAAAGTGAAGCACTCCACACGTTCAGATAGATCACTCAAAAGGCCCTGAGAAGATATTAGTAAAGAAAGCCACCCCTCCCCGCCCCGACACAAAACGTGAACAGCTGACTAAGTGGCTTCATCCTGGAGACTTCTACTGGCTTTGTTTGTTATTTGTTTTATTTTTTTGTTTTGACCCCAGAAGGATCTGAAAACTCTATACCCAGGGCCTGACAAAGCCACACAGTCCTCTCATGCTCTGAGGGTCCCCCAGACCTGCCACATGCTGCTGGGTCAGGCCTGGGCACTCTGACAGCTCACATAGGCACTGCATGGAGTGTGACACCCTACACACACTGGCAGTCTGGTGAGGTTGGTTGTCACAGTGTTCTTTCTCTGAGTAGTGGCTGCACAAGCCTAGGCCTGGAGCTGAGGAAGATAGCAGAGGTGTCACCATTGCCTTCTTCGTGCCCATCACTGTTCAAATAAATACCAGGAGACGCATGCAGGAAAAGCACACTGAAAGCTAGGCAGGGCTGAGAGCCTGCCAGGCCGGTGCTACCCAGGGTGTGCTAGCAGGGTGTCTCGTATTAGTGCTACTTTTATTGATGATGTCATTCTGTTATGTATATGTATCTCTCTGTGTTGAGGTACTTTGGTCCTGAGGAAGATTCAGAAGTTCTGGATCCACTCAGAAATGCTGAACACTATGCACACTGTCTTTTCAACTGTGTGCAGCAGGCAAAGCAAAGTTGCTTAGTCAGGACTGCGAAAGTTTGTCTGTCAAAACCTCAGATTGCTCAAAGATAATTCTAGAAACAGAGGAGAAGAATGGGGAAGAAACAAGGACAAAGTGTGTTCTGAGGACTGTTCTTGGGTATTAGCACCACCCTGGAGTGTCAGTCATTGTGCACTTGGTTTCACTGGCATGGACATCACTTTGGTCCCGTAGCTATGGAAGGACCACCATTCTCTAAAGAGTTCACACTTCAACACTGGAGGTCTCTTTTCAGATAGGGAAGGAAGGACCCGTTGTAATTCTCAGCCGAATATGCCAAGGGTGAGAACAAAACAAAACCCCCAAAACACAATGCCTGCATCTCTGGATCAGCTGAAGACAGAGATCAAATGACACACATATTTTCTAGCACCCCATGCAGACCAGGGAGAAAAGAAAGTCAACAAATCACCAAGTATCATAGGCGATTTGACTCTGCTGCCCACATAGCAGTGACTCAAGTCTGTGTGAGCCTGAGAGACTTTGTACATGCTCCCATTCGTGTGGTGATTCCATGTTGTACTTCAGTGTCAATGTGCCTGTCCACGTGCTACTTTGGTGGGGGATGAGGATCTGAAAAGTGATCAAGAGACCCAGAAGATGGCTTAGTGTCTAAGAGCACTTGCTGCTCTCCCAAGGGAATGCAAGTTCAGATCTCAAGATCTCAGGACCCATAGCAGGCAGCCCATACTCATCTGTAACCCCAGCTCCAGGGAAGCCTGCAATCACTCATTCTCCAAGGGTGCTCTCTCTCTCTCTCTCTCTCTCTCTCTCTCTCTCTCTCTCTCTCTCTCTCTCTCTCTCTCTCTCTCTCTCTCTTGCACACATACCCACACATCAAGCACTAGTAATTAAGTACTCCCCCCAAGAAATGACACACCCCACTTCTCCCAGACTTAACACTGGAAGAAAGCAGGAGGGGACAAACTTCCCCAAAGAGAACACCATACTAGTGGCCACACAACCGTCTGCCTCAGTGTACTGGCATATGGCTTTCCTCTCAAAAGTCACCCCTTGTGTATCCCCTCCCCTTGGATTGAGTGGTGCATATCAACAGTCTCTGTGGAGCAGTGCTGGGGGAGGGAGACCTCTTTGGAAAAAAGGGGCACTACCAGGGAGGACCAATTAACTCAGTACTTTACTCTCTGTGCTTTTAGTTCCTAATAGCTCTAGGAAAGAAGAGTGGGTTAAAAGGAGTCGTGGCCGCTCTGCCTGATAGTTTGAGTTGCCCAGGACAATCTTACTTTGTGTGAAAAGGCTTCTGGAAATGTGCCTCTATTCCTCCCTTCTTACCAGACATGATTCAGATTCCCTCTAAGCCCTGTGACTTCCAGAAAGCAGCTCTCCCTGAGGGTGGGGGTGGGGGGATAAAAACTTTCCTTTATTATTCCCAATAATGAATCC